GAGTTATGTATGGGACAATCTGATGGCCAGGTGCAGTTCGTCAACGCTGTGAGACAACCAGCGGAGAGTGAATCAGTGAGCTTTAGAGGTGTGTGACAGCAGTGTGCACATGTTGCAGAACTGTCTTATTTGCAGGAGTGGTCAGATAATGTGGTATTTTACATACCCTTTTATTCTTTGGTGTTGAAGTAGCAAAAACGTGTGTTTGTGAAGTACTTGATCCAGCAAAGGACTCCTGTAAATGTGTGAGAGAGAAAAAGGGTTAAATTTGAAACTGCAAATCTGAGTGACATTGTGTACTTTACTGAATACTGAGTCCCCATGTAGGATCAATAAATGAACATTGCACACAGTTGCCAGTATAACTACATAAACAACCTAGAAACTCTGTCTCAAAAATGTTATACAAACTTGTTGTTTTGGGCATCTAAAACTTGGCATGTGCACTTAGTTGCCAGTTTATCATATTCTATATTATTTATTCATATTTAATTAAACAAGCTAAATGACAGAAACACTCCTCTCTGTAATACATTTGAACAGTATCACAAACTACAAGTTGAAACAGGTTTAAACAAAAACATGAACATTATAACTTTAATGGAGGATTTACTGCAGGACTGTTGCATTTTCCTTCATTGATTTTAGCTGGATGTGCCTAATAAACTGGCAAAAAATACCATAATTCTAATACAGAAATAGAAAACAAGGCTCTTTCTATCACACAAACCTACCCTTGAGCGCCATGTGTAAGAGGCGTCCCCGTAGTTGTACGTTATCTCCTCGCCTGGAGAGATTTCTTTCAATGCAAACAGGCACAAGTGTGGCTTCCCCCTGCAAACAATTGTCTTCATTTCACAGTTCGGACTTATGTGATCATCATTCACGAGTCTTCCAAGGGTATTATCCTCTGTCGAAGCATCAATGCTGCAAGCAAAAATAAAACAACCTTAATGACACTTCAACCATACTTTAACCTATCAAGAGGCCTCAGGTCTCTTCATGATAAACCTGAATAACAAGCAGGTAACTTACCACCATTGTGCTCCTTTCCATGTAAACTCAAACAAAAAACTATTTAGAGCATCACTACATTTCTTAGGCCTTGTGTCTTTGTGAGGAAAGATGTTCCCCCGATATTCAACAACAAACATCGATGGTTTAAGGGCTCTGTGGGTAAAGACTCCTCTCCCTAGAGAAGCAAAGATTCACATGAAAACATTAGTCAATCGTATTTCTGGTCCATTTATCAGAGCCAGTGGTAACTTGCATGACCATAATCATTAGTTTACTTCGACAAAACAAATATAATAGAGAGAAATCTCTTCTTGGCACTCAAATAAAACATAACTTAATATCCATCCTGCCAAAAAGGGGAATAAAGGTTTTTTTCTCTATATATTTTACTATGGAGAAATTCACATTTTCAGCAGTGTCTGACTCTTAACAACAGGAATTTTTCTATTATTATTTACAAGTGGGTGTAAATTGGTTTATACTTTTATGTGGACAACAGTCTGTGACAGGGTTCCCACTCTTTTTAGGTAATCATTTTTCTTGACAATACAGGGCAGCATAGGTGGCCATCGTTTGTGCATTATTCGTGTTAATTCCTCTAACTGTAACATTACATTTGCCACAGGCTAAAATACAATTCAAATTTTCTAGATCAGATTATTTCCATTATATTTGGTAATTTTAATCAATTTCCAGGTGTTTCCGTGACTAGAAAATTAGTCTCTAAATTTCCAGGTTTTCCAGGACGTATGTGAAAACCAGTGCTTCGTAAATCATTTAAATGTAAAGCACCAATATTTACCTTCATACATCACAACTCCCTACTGATTATTTGAATCATTCACATCTACATATCATATTATGATTACCACAGACTGTAAGACCAGAAATCTCTTCAATATCAATACAGAGGCTACTATCAGGTAACTCTTACCTTTAAAGGAGTCTATATACCTTTCCTCCAGAAAAGGTTTGTCTTTGCATGCAAGTATGTGTTTCAGGGCATCTTGCTCTGGAGTTAGTCGCCTTTTCTTCTCCATGGTACCTGGAAAAATTAGATACACAATTAAGTTCGGTTGATATTGAGATCTGCTGTAGTGTCCCCTGGCATGTTTTTCATCTATAGAATATGCTGATGTTTTTCTCCATTGCAATAAGAGAGTTGGTTTAATTAGAGATTAAGAAGATCTTCAGGTCTTTGATGTCATTTTCAACTCTATTCTTAGTTTTGTTAAGTGAAATAAAAATGTTACTTCCCGTCTAAACTTGCTGCCAATTCAATAAACAATGGTAGTTTGTGCTTATTTAAGTCAGAAGTTCCAAACATGGGGGTCGCCCAAAGCTTTACAGGGGGAAAATATACATAATATGGATTATATTTCAGAATTTTGTTAATTTCTCTGCAGAAAACTAAATGATTTTTTAAAAGTTTAGCTTATTATTTAAGATAGAAACTTTAAAGACACAAACTATTTTCACAGAGCTTTCACTTTCTACTAAACTAGACTTTTCCTGCATTAGAAAAGAAAGAAAAAGAGGCCTATTGAGTGGTTAAGATTGTTATATATAGAAAATAGTACACAATACAGTATAAAAAGCTGCATAAATTATCAGAAAAACATCCAAACCAATCGTTTTCATAAAAAGTAGTCCCTGTACAGTTTATCAGTTGTCCTGTGCTCTTACTGAATATAAGATAAAAAATTCCTTTATTAATCCCCTATGGGAGAAATTCAAGTTGACACAGCAGCACAGATGAAATGTAGTGTAAAAAAATACAAAAGTAAGTAAGAAAGTAAAAATATAATAAGGAATAATAAAATAAAAATATTATAAAAGATATAACAGAAAATATAAAGGCTACTATGAGAAAATATACACTATATGCAGTATGCAGTGAGAAATATGGTGTAATATGATATAAAACATTAATAATCTCTTAGTGAGAGGTTGTAAGTTTACTTAATGATAGAAAAGAGGAAGGAAAAAGGTTGGAAACCACTTCTACCTACAAACACAAGCTCAAACAATATATAATACATAAATACAATAGTAGAGTCAGCTACCTGGTTAAACTGACTACCGTGTGCCCTGTTTTGTTAGGACTGAGTTGCATCTGACACTTGTTTACTATCAACTGTGCACATGCCTTGCTAGCATGCTAACAACAACAACTAGCATAACACCAACTAGCAAGTGCTACGTAAGCTAGTAGAGGTGGAGGAGTTAAAATACTGTAAGTTCGAAACATATATATATTTATAACAGCAACATTCACCTTTGTTTCAGTGTCTTAAGTAGAAGCAAGAAGAGAAACACAGCTAGCTAACACAGTGGAGGCCATATTTCCTTTCTTTCGTCTTTCGAGAGACCACGTGACTGCGCTGGTAAGTTACGTAGGACGAGCGGCGGCCACTCCGGCCAATCACGGATCACCACGTCACTGACTGACTCCAAAAGCAGCGAATCAGCGGCCGTGAATTTCTTCGCCACGGGGAGCAGCCGTGGACAGTCACACACGGCTCATAACTGGTTTGTGTGGTTTATGGGGACTCACAATAGTCACATACTAAATAAATATAAGTATAACATAAATACTTTATTATTCATAACTCATAACAGTAGACTTTTAATAAGGACAACAATGTTTTTTAAATGTTTTTTTTATTCAAAAAGGACATACAATAGAAAATACTGAGAACCTTGGCAGCCATCCTCTAGAGACTGGGGAGGGGGGAGGGGGTTAATATAACCAAGATATACATGAAGGAGTAGTATTTTTTTATTTATTTTTTTACCAGGGTGGTAGTTATGCAAAAACTCAATGTCTCAGAGGATACTGTAGATGAAGTAGCACGTCCAAAATGAGGTTTAAATCAACATATTTGTTCTTTTCAGTGTTCAGTCAACAAGAAGTGGGTAACATTTGTGCAGTTCTTTGAAATGATGCATGAGAGTTGTCAGTGATATAAGCTACGTTCAAAGACATTATTGTCTGCAGTGTATTTAATCTCAGTATTAATTGGACTCTGTTGATCAAAATGTGTCTATTTCTATTGATGAGCCAAAAGGAAATACATTAAACTGTTTGATTCTTTCATTTAAAGGTCCAGTGTGTAACATTGAGGATGATCTTTCGGCAGAATTCGAATATAATATTCATAATTGTGTTTTTATTAATGTTTAATCACCTGATCATAAGAATTGTGTTTCTGTTAATGATCTATATTTATCTTCAGATGGAGCAGGTCCTCTTCCACGGAGGCCACCATGTTTAAAAAGTAGCCCAAATTGGACAAACCAAACACTTGCTCTTAAAAGGGCCTTTTGCAGCCACCATAGTTTCTCCTACATGCTTGGAGCGGCAACTCTTCGCCACTGAATCCTACACTGTGGTCCTTAGAGGGTCACTCTGTAATCTCTCAGTCACAGTGACCTTTTAAAGTATGATTATCTGATTTGTGTTAAAGTTTTTTTGTACACTGATTGTCAACATTTTACTACGGCAAGTTGGAGAAACCTCTGCAAGATCAATTATAGCAAGAAATTTCCTACACAACTTTCCAACAATCCTAAAAGGTATAAAATCTGCAAGAATATTGTGTCTGAAAATGAGCTCTTTCACTGACAGACTGACACCAAATTATAGCACTGTGTAGTGTTGTGGACAATCAAACTGCAGGTTTGAGACTTGACGGTTGGCAATTTACATCTACATCACAGAAAGCCGTTTTCAGTCTTCTGGGGCGGACGTTTCACTCACTGACACCAACAGAAATCACTGCAGCCCTTTCAAACAAAGGACGAAAAAACCCCAAATTTCCACAGGAGTTTAAGGAATCATGATATGGAAGGAACAACGTAGCCAAGCAACCATTCAGCAGACAGAAAACACAAAAGTACAGCAATGTCTCTGGCTGAACATTAGTGAACAGTCTTATAATCTCAGCTCCCAGTTTCTACCCATACAAACACTGGGCATCTGAAGATATTCCATTAATTCAGCTCATGATGTGGTTCAGGAAGTATGACGTTCTTTTGTAGTTCATCACATTGTAGTTGTGTATGTACGGGTGCATTAACTCCGTTTTTGTTTACTGGGCCGTGTTTAAATGAACATTTCAGTTAATCTACAACATTTACATTTCCTCTTCGTCACTCTGAATCTCCATTTTCCTCTTCAGGTATAAACGGTGGGTCATCGGGCGTCTGCTCCTCCGTCCCTCCCTCTTTCCTCGCCTGAAGATGGAGCTCTCTGACGATGAGGATGCGGGTGAGCATGGCCTCCATGGTGCTATCGTCCAGAGGGGTGGAGGAGAACCACAGCGGGCTGTTGGGGACGCAGCAGCGCTCGGGGTGAAGGTAGAACAGGTTGGTGCGCTGCTTCACTGACTCCGAGCTGCATGGAAACAGTTGTTAATGTAAAAATAGTGACAGATTAAGGAGATGAATACCCAGCAATAGGTTTAGTCCAAAGTCTCTGATAGATATATACTAAAATGTCTATATGTGAAGGCTGTAGCAAGACAATCAACAGATTAAAAATGGAACAAAACAAATGGACACAACAACCATTGAGTGTCAACATTAGGACCTTGTTTCAGAATGGGTCAAGAGTTGGTGAGTTGATATCAAACAGCCAGACATCGATGAAGTTCAGTGCGACGCTATACTCACCACTTAGAGAGGTAGAACTCGTAGAGTCTGACCGGACAGCGGAGAGGGTTGTCTGTGTTCTCCATCATCTCCAGGATATCGTCTTTACTCTCCTCCTCCTTACGCCTCTTCACTGGAACCTCTGGATCTGAGGAGGACACAGTGCACATTTACACCGTTTCTAATGTGAATCCATTTCATGGTTAACTGTTGTTGTAGCAGTTCAACACAGAACTGCTGGTTTGAAGATACTGATGAATGAAAATTACTGTTATGTGAATGTGTGACTTCTACCTTACTTGCACTGTGTAGTAAACAGCGAAGAAATAAATATCCCTGGTAAGAATTCACTCAAAATCTATATTTGACACATACGTCAGGGTAAAGATTTAGGTTTTAAATCAGGTTCAGGCTCATTATATCCGTGTCTGTTTGGACCAGGACCTTGTATTTTGTGGTTAATGGTGGCTTTAGTAACACGTGATGGTTCAGATTATGCAGATATGACATAGATCTATATTATACTGCTTGACTTCCTCAAAAACAATTCTTGCACCAACTGTGTGATTGTTATTGATTGTTGATGTGTTTTAATATCTTACAAGTTGATATGGAACAAATAAAGTACTTCATTTTTTACCCTCAGCTTTATTAGTACCCAACTCTGCTTCATTTATGGATATTGGGGGGTAGAACCGCAGGAAGGTGGTCTTGGTGCTGTCCTGGTTGGTTTTAGTGCAGCGCATGACGTGGGCGAAGGACAGCTGGCGGTGCTGCTCCACCGTGGTGAAGCCAAAGTACTTGCAGCAGAAGAAGAGCAAAG